ACGTCATTTAAGTTTATATACCTGAAAATCTCCAGTAAAAAGTAGAGTAATATATATATATATATATATATATATATATATATATATATATATGAGAGCATTATAAGGGACTATTTGGTCCATGTGGGAAAATAAAAATATGAATGAAAATGAAAATGAATTTTCATCCCCCAATTTAACCATGAATGAAATTTTGGGCTTCTGGGTAATTGATTTATTATATTATATAAAATTAAACAATTTATTTTATTTTAAATTTCATTAATTACTATTTAATATCCTTAACGAAACACCTTGACTTTTGATATATGGATCTCGTTCGGCATATAAACTCAAATTTCCCTCTTAGAATGTAGAAAAAAAAAACGATTATTAATTGCATTATCTGAATCTGTTATAAAATTGCATATAGACTGATATTTTTTTATGTCTAACTTTTATTCTGATGATAAATCGGTTTAAGATATGAAAAGTATTATATAAATTCAGAGGCAGATTCATAAGGTTATTTTTGTGGTTGCTATGTAGTATGCAACGAAACAAAATTATAACATCTTTATAGACCATAAAAACAAATTGTACTACGTCAAAAAAAAATAGCAGTTGCACGGAAGCCGAAAATCTCTCAATCATCTCACCCCTATTGCGTTGGCTGCATAATCCCATCAATAAACCCTCAAAATCCTTGGTCGATTGTTCCCCATCCATCTCTCAGTTTCTTCATCTCTGATTTTGACGGGAGTTCAAATAAAGCTTCAAGAGTTCAAACACTAATATTTCAATGGAAAGATGTATAAGCTTAAATTTGGAAACCCTAAATCTGAAATTTAAAATCTAAAATAAACTTTGTTTATGAATTTAAGTTCTTTTCTTATTTTGACACTGATTTGTGTTTGGATTTGCGATGTTAAAGGAGCGGTGAGGGTTTTCAAAATCAAACTCGTGAGTTACAAGAAAAGCTTGATCTAACTTGTGTTAGATTGAGCTTATCCATTTTCCAGTCGAAATCTTACAAGTCAGACTCTTGAAGCTTTATTTGAACTCTAACTGAAATTAGAGATGAATAAAATGGGATATATATATATATATATATATAAGTGAAAAATCAAACAAGAATCTTGAGGGTTCACTGAAATAGGGGCAACAACCGATCGTGGAGAATTTGAGAACGTGAATCATGGAAGACGTGGGGTTGGTGGACGGTTTTACGAAGCTTTAACAACTTGCATATTTATACTTTACATAACTTTTTAATAACGGTTGGAAGGATAATATTTGTTTTATTATATTCGAGCAAAAAGTTGATTACTGACAACCACAACCGGCTGTGAACGGACCCATGACTTGTCTTGTATTTGGGCCATGATCAGACCTATGACTTATCTTGTATTTGGACAAAAATCACTCATCCAGTTACTGATTGAACTGAGATTGTTTTATCATATTACTCTTCTTTTTTATTTGATTAAAATGAAGAAAAGAATAAAAATTTATATAAAAATATAATACAAAAGAAGCACAATCATATATTGGTAGATGATTGTGATGCACATGTGAAGACATCAAATGAGTTGATATGGTAACATGATTCTTCAAGTATTAGTTTTTTTATATGGAAGGATTCTTATAAAAACATATGATTATTTGATAAATGGTATTTAATATTCTAATATGATTCCTTTGTATTACATATCCTACCAAAACTAAGTACACATCATGCTTTAAACCTCATTAATTCTAACTTATCCCTACTATATTATACAATATTTGACAAAAACTCTTAAAAACCATTTTTTTATGCATAAAGTACTGTTTATTGATGCATATTACTTAAAATTCAAAATTACAAGTAAATTGTGCGTAAGTACAACTTATTAAATATTCATGTTTGAATTCGTGTAACTAACTGCATATAAACATGATCGAGAGGATAAACATCTCATTTTAAATATAGAAAGTTTAAATTATAATTAAAATAATCATTAAATTCTAACAAAATATTTAATTATTATTTTTATAAAAAATATATTATTAAACAAAAAATAAAAAATGAATCAAAGAAATACATAAAAAAAATATTAAATAGTTAATATAAATATTTTTTTTTTCAATTTTTTATGATATCTTCATATTTATATCTTATTCAAAAATAAAAAGATTATCGCTTTCTCAAAACCATATAAAATTGTTTTATAACATCGACTGAGACAAAAAAAAACATTAAAATCGAGATGTATCTCGCTGCATTGTGCAAATACCCTTTTAGTATTATAAATACATAAATTAAAAAAAACATTGATGAATTTGTAGTATGAAAATGATATTGTTCTCTTCTCAACCTAAAATAATTGTTTATATTATTATTTTAGTTTGTTTTAAAATAAATTTTTATTTTAATAAATATTTACTTTTTTTTTATCTTTAATTATGTGATAGCGAAATTTTTTCTCTGTAGTTACTGTAAAATTGTCTTCTTTTGGTAATTCAAAACTGTAATAAATTACACATTTTTAAAACCGTGTATCTTTTTTATTATGGATATTTATTTTAAAACAAAGAGAGTACAAAGGCCCAAAAGTAACATTCCTTCGTTCCTTGTCTTACAAGTAGGAGTATGCAAAAAGTCAACCGACCAATTAAATTAGAACCGACCGACCATAATTGGATATCCAATTGTAATTGGATCAGATCGGATTAAAAATTTCAACATTCAATTTGGATTGGTCAGCTCTTGGATGACAGTCCAAAACCGACCGAACCGACCATCATCCAATTAATCATTTGATGATCATTCAGTTATCCATCTAATTAATTTGTTTGCAATTTGCTTAAATAGGAATTTCTTTTGTGTTAAGTTTTTGAATTTTTAGCCTCGTTTTTGTTGGTTTTAACACCTACTAAAAGTGATAATCAATTTGTTTGATTGTTAAAAAATTGGATTGAATTAACACATAGGATAGATCCAACTTGATCTGATCATCCATTGGATGTCGGACGGATTCAATCCGACTCATATTGGTCGGATCAAATCCGATTCAATGGATGAAACCAAACTGATCCACTCATTCATTAGATTGGATTGGATCTTATTGATCGACAAAATCCAACATTCAACGAATAATTGGATTGGTTCCCCTCAAATCGAATGAACATCAACAAGCGAACAAGCAGACGGATAAAAGGCGAAGAGTTTTACCAAATTCCCCTTGTCTACTTGGGCTTTTCAATTTATTGCATAAACTAAGTTGAGACGTTAAAAGTATATCAAATCTAAGCATTTTATCTTTTGATAAATGACAACCCAAACAAGTTATATAAAACCTCCTCAATTCTCTATAATTTTTTTAACACAAAAACCTAAGTTAAAATCATTACTATATTCAACTTCAACAACACTAATTACATCATTAAAATATTTTATAATTCTATCATCTGTATGAATTGGTAAGAAGTTGAGAACAAAGAAACTATGATTCAAAAAAATTGATGATGAAATTGGTTATCATTTTTTTTTTGGTAATCATTGGTATCCGAGTCAGCTTATAAGCATTGACTAATCCCCAAATAACCATGAATAGCCTGGAGTCAATAGTCATCGTAGGTGAACCTCCATAGACACAAGGGTTTTGACATCGCCTAGATTCAAACCTTGGGTACATCCCTCAACCCAAGGGGTTAAATTGGTTATAATTTGAGTTGTTGGAAAATGAAATGGTTTTTTGTCTGATACCAAGTGATTAAGATTCCCCTTTTTTTTTTCCTTCTTTCTGGAAAAGTGTTTAAAGAAGCAAAGGAAACATATATCCATTATATGAACATTTAATGAAGATTATGAAAATTACAAAAAAACCAGGTTGAGAAAAATATATATATATATATCCTAAACAAATGAAACAATCAACAGAACTCCAAAATTACCTGGAATGATTCAACTGCTTGATCACTAATCTTGTTCCACCACCAATCTGTCATTTGGCTTCATTCACCACATTCCTTTGTTCCAAATGCCAACACTAATTCATTCAATCCCCTAAATTAATTCGTCTGGTTTTAAGTTAGGTTGATTTGTCAACATTTTTTATTTCATAAAAAAAAATTAAATACGATGATAAAAGCTATTATATCAAAATAACGATTCGATTTTTTTATACTATGACAATAGAAGATTTGATATTTGACCCAGGGGCGTCGATTAATAACGAATAGTACTGTGCTTCAAGCGAAAAAGTGGATAAGAGCATCTTCGATGGGTATATACTATAACAGAGTATCAAAAACCAAAATCTTTATAAAAATGTACATACAACTCCAACTACTACTCTATTAAGCAATTCCAGGATTTCCAGCATCAGTTATAGTATTAAATATTTTATATATTCATCATTCCAATACACTTTTAAAAAAACTTTATAAAAAAATTATAACGCATTCAATCTCATTGGTGGAAACAATTAATATAATACATACATATATATATATACATACATACATACATATATATATATATACATACATATATATATATATATATATATGTTTCTCAATATTAAGTTGTAGAGATTTCTTCAATTCCGTGATTTGACTGATTTCTACTTTCTCTCTTCTTTTCTCAATTTTGTAGACTTTTAGCATACACTTTAAGAGTAAATTAATTTTTTTGGCCCTGTGGTTTGTTAAGACTAGCATATTTTGTCTCTATGGTTTTGAAATTACGGTTTTCATCCCTATGGTTTGCACAACATTGCTATTTTCATCCCTGAAACTAATTCCTACTTTTTAAGTATGAAGGACTAAAACAGCAATGAATTATAAATCACAGGGACAAGAACAGAAATAAGTCTAAATCATAAGAACGAAAAGTAACAATAATGTGCAAACCATAGGGACAATAATCTCAATTTCAAAACCACAAGGATGAAATCCGCAATTTTCAAGAAACCACCTGGACAAAAAACATAATTTACTCTGCTCTTTGACACAGCTGGTGGAGCGAAAAAGAACCGCAAAATCTCTAGTATAGTATAGCTATTGGAGATGTGGAATTACATAAGACTTAAAAGTCAATTTTAGATTTGGAAATGACTAGGTTGAATATTCAAAATCACAAGTTCATCTTTGTTATGGAAAGGGAGTAGTAAATTTTGGCATATAATCTACGATAAAAAGTTAACTTGGATCAGTTGATTTATTTAGTGTCATTATGCTAGATTCTAAGATTATATGCTCTAAAAGATGAAAAGTGGAAGCCAAGAGAGGATTATCCTTACCAAATTATAGTTTGTCAAAATCATCATCATCCAAGCCATCATTTCCATCATCTGAGAAGAGAAGAATAATAAGTCATCAGCATGTTGAATCCAAATATCATTCAAAAAGATTGGAACTAAAGGATTGAAATATATGTCTAGGTCTTGTACTTGAAAAATAAGAAAAACAAGATACTCGGTTCTACAATCAACTTCCTTACATAACGAAGGTTTCATTAGTTTTCAGGGTCGTTGCAAACTCAGTTCTATCCCACCCTCTCCAGACCCTACTCTCGAGCGGGCAGAATATATTGGGGTCATTTGGTTTGGTTTGGTTGTTGCAGAAATAGCACCCAACGAATAAGAACATCTCCAACAGATTCTCTAAACTTGGAGTTTTCTCTAGCTTAGAGAACAATATAGAGAACCTGTTATAGCAAAATAGAGAAAAAAAGCCTCATTTTCTCTATATTAGAGAATCTATGGGAGATGCTCCATTGAGGGCTGAGTTAGATTATTATAACAATTAAGAGTTGATGGTGCAAAGCATTAAGCAGCAGAAAGCAATCGCCCAATTTGTGCAGCACAATCATCCACACGCGGAGTTATTTTTCTGAAGACGGAAACTAAACCTGGTACTTCTGTCGTCATCTCCACACAGCAGCTAATTCAATGGGCAATCCTCAAGTAGGATTGGCACTTAGGGTGCATTTGGTACGCTAGCAAGACTGGAGGGGCGAGAGTGAGTAGGTAAGGATTGTGGATGGTTTTAGAGTTTTAATTTGACATGGGTAGCTTAGTAATTTACAAAGCTTGTCACATCTCCCTGATTTTTCTTCTACATATTTTGTTGGACAGAAAAAAATGCATTTGTGTCTCAGTCTAATGTCGTGTGAAATGTGGGACAAGAAGTTTTTATTTTGTCATTCCCCGTGTAGGGATGGGATTGTTCATCGACACTACACAGTTAACAAGAAATATCTCTACTCATCACTAAGTCGATACCCTTGTATTATGCTATTATGCTCAAAGGAAGAGATAGAAACGTAAATTATTTTATGATTGCAGGAGACTACCCATGACAACATACCTGGCCCTTCATCACTGTCACCAAGATCTCCCAAGAGAAAGACATCCAAGTCCTGGTCAGATGACTTCGAGGCTGCCGCACTTTTAGGCTTTTGATTTGCTCCATTTCCTTCTGTTTTAGCAACAGTTTCAGCTGCGGTAGTCCCCACTGCACTATCATCTTTCACCTTTTCAACAGATTTTTTATTTTCCTCTTCCATGTACCGCTTTTCATAACTGTTATCATCATATCAGAAATTTAATACACATCATTTGCAAGAAGTAACAAAAGGAACGGAAGTTGTACGTTAAGTAATTAGTTCTTAAGGGAAGTTAAATGTGATTTATGAATAATGAGGGATAAAATTAAGATAGGTGAGTGACGATGTGAACATCCTCCAAGAAAATGGTTTCTGGTACTTCATCGGAGGAAAAAGAACTTTTCTAGTGGCACCTCCTGGACCATGGCTGCCACCATAACCGAAAAGAAAATTGTAAGGCCACAAAGTCCAATTTGGAGAAGTTTATATGAAGACGTTCATATTAGTTTGTTGCATATTTCCTGCAAGAACGAATCATACCTATTCTCACCTCAGACTAACAATCATAGTTCCCTCAGTTCTTAAATCACATTAGTTGATTATGATAAGCTTTGCTTTTATTTTCCCAGAAACTTATAAGGTGAGGGCAGAAGGGAAAACGAGAACCAAAACAACTTCAATTATGTAAAATGCTGCTACCATGGCAATTGGCAGACATGATTCAACTAGTAATTCCATATAATGTGGTCTGGTGATGTGGTAGTTATGTTGGCAAGATTGTCAAAAGTCGACCATCATTTGAATGCGGAAAATTTTAGTACATTTGAACCCAAAACCACCAATCTTTTGTCTTTCTTGCAAAAACCTACATAATCTATTTCGAGATGCAATACAGCAAGAGATATTTAACTCATTTGTTTCAAAAAATCTTGGTCAAACTGTACACTGTGTTCTCGAGTCCCTTTTTACAAAAGGGAGGGAAAGGAAGGAGGGGGGAAAGAAAAAATCTCGTATTACTCGAGTTTCTTTTAGGATGGAAAGTAAAGGAAAAGGAAGGAAAATAAGACTGATTTTCCTTCCAAAACTTCCCTCCCAAATATGGGAGGAATGGAAAGAAATAAAAACAACTAAAAATATTTACAAAATTACACATCTACCCATCACCCTGTAGAAAAATAAATAAGGGTATTTTTGTAAAACATCATCTTTCCTTCCCTTTCTCTCCTGCTGAAAAACATGAAAAATTATTTTCTTTCCTTCCCTTTCCTTCCTTCCTATTCCCTCTCAAGAACACAAATAAAAACAATTATTTCCTTCCCTTTCTTTTCTTTTCCATCCCTTTCTTTTCTTTTCTTCTCCATCGCTTTCTTTTCTTTTCTTCTTAAACTCGAGAACAGAGTGTTAGGCTTCATGTCCTGTTTTGGTTACATGTGGTTTGTGTAGAAACAAGATTATACAGCTGTCTCTTTATAGCTTATATGTGAAATAGAGAATATCTGGTTTAGGACGTGAAGGCAATGGCACAACGAAATAATCAGATCAAAATGGTAAGCTACTTACGGAGTCACGTGACTATTTACAAGGAGAAAGTATATCCTCCAGAATTTCCTCTCTCTCATGACACGTGGGCACAACTCGTACCTCAACTTTGAGATTTCCTGCAAAAATTCCATAGTAAGATAGAGGGCAGATCAACAGGTCTCCATCTCAGGATCAAAACATAGAATAACACAACTGCAAGCTAAATAATGCATACGTTTATTTGTTTTAAATGATCCACCAAAAAGATAGTAAATTAGTATATAACTTAAATCATTCTCATGAAAATAGATATCCATGGATGTTGCATCCAAAGTTGGGGCTTGGTCAATAGAGCTTTTGGCATCAATTCATTTACTTGTCTATGTTTCAACAAAGGCCAGAAAAACATTGTGACACGGATTTCTACTTTTATCTTCAAAATCAGAAGTATACTCACAGATATTCAGAAATCAGAAAAAAGATTAAACTTTATCGTCACAGAAGGAAAAAAAAATTCTTAAATTGCCAGAGACTCAAAGATTAGGTTATGTGAAATGACAATCTATTTACTTTAGTCATCGGAAAACCGATTCTTAAAAAAGGTTAGCCATGTACATGTTCAAGATCTTTTCTCTAGTTGGCCATTTATGTTAGTTTAGACAATGATTCGTAAATAGTGTGATGGTAAACGTTCATGTCAAGTCAAATCATAAAAAGAAACCCAAACCAGAGGTTGAGTTATTGTCGACACATGTGATTCAAGGACCTTAAACATTAGGATGTGATGACAGGACGTGCTCTGGATCTATAATTTGTTCATATAAGGGAATTAGCAAAAAGAAACTTTTGAAGGATTGCAGAAGTCATTGATATTCATAATACAATCATCATAAGCTACCCATATGATTCTAGTATACTTAGGATTGCACAAATCATTCCATGTCCTGTTTCAGAGAATCACAAGGATTTGGAGAAATGTTCACCATTCAGGGTAACATATTCAATATTGTCCAACAGAAAGTTCATTCCATGTCACATGAAATAGCAATTTATGTAGCTTCAGTCTTATTAGAGTTATACAGCCTATACTGGTTGCTCAATAAGTATGTTGTTCAAATCTCAACTTACTCAGAAGAGAACTCCATTTTCTCCTGGTGCAACAATGGCCTTATTCAGCCATGGTGAAGATTTCGAGCCCTATTGTTCATCCTCCATATCCCTAAAATGACTATTTCCGACTGACAAAGATCCTCAAACAGCCAGTTCTACCACATGACTAACCACTGTGTTCCCTCGAAACGATCGAAGGTACACCTTTACTAGAAGAACATGATAAGTGACCAATGGAAATGGTACGCAGCATAGCATGTTCCACTTTTTCCCCATTTAGAGTGGTCGACAAAATTTGCCTGTCATGATTGAGGTCAACCCTAAACTTGATATTTTAATATTAAGGATATAATTATGCATTGGAGTGAAGACATATAAGTAGATGGGTCGCCTATATATGTGGCAGAGTACATGGTTGAGAAAATTGTAGTAGAGGTGCCATAGGTGTACTGGTGTACTATGTTAGTTTTGAATATAGATCCCTTTTTTTTACTAAATGATGGTATTGGTTTCACTTTGTCAGCTAATAAAAGCTACCAACTGAAGGTCAAGGTGTGTATAGTTTAACTGACTTCAAGCTGTACATAATAAAGGTTTATGATTCAAGAAATATGTTTGCTGAAACTCTTAGGATGGTGGTGCTGCGTCTCGCCTCATATATACTGCTCCACGTTTCCTTCATGTTCTACAAAAAAATTATTTTCCACGCCTTCAATGCCACTTCTCTACTGAAGTTTTTCTTTGATATGAAGTCAAAGGCTGTTATACTTGCCATTAAGTATTGTTCTTCAAATGCCAAGTAAGTAGGTTTCAGAGTTGTATTTAATCTTAATGCTTTTGGGAAAACTTAATGTTATTTGAACAACTGGAAGAATCACCACATATATGTCTGACTCCTTCACTCGACAATCTCATTGTTCTCCATTTTCTGTTAATCTACTGCACACCAAAGGAACACTAGATGATCTATTTTCATGCAAGTTCTAAAGAAATGGATTACTAGAAATGTCCTCAGTGATCCATTTCCTCTTACACCCAGTGACATGATTTTAGAAGCAAACTTCTAAACTCAACTTGTATTACTGTGAACACAATAAGATAAAAATCATAAAAATTGTTGATTACAAACTTGTCATTTCAACATAATAGACGAGCGAAATATTTCAATCTGGAAATGAACAAGCTCTGGATTAAAATGACAAAATAGGATTTTTGAAGCTGAGCTTGGACCTTATAATATATTAGTAACTTTACAAGGCTTACTACAGCTATGATAATAGCCTTCCTTACTGAGTGCATGTTGTTGCTTATACTAACATAAAAGACTTTGGGGCCAAGTTTATATAGATCTCATTTTCAAATGTGACATGTACTATCAATTCCTTTTGCGCCATGCTCGCTGATTGGAAGGCCTGAAGTTCGTTTGAGCCATTGGAGGAGGCTCTTTGCATGGACTATGAACTAGGTAGGCCAAAGATGTTAGATATCATGGCTTGCTGGGAGTTTAAGGCTAGTTAGTTGACTGCTCTGAAAGTAGTCTTTTCCCTATCTGAAAGTTATAAAATTCCATCTTCATCATTTAACAAAAAAAAAAAACTTGACCGTTTGTTAGACTGTAACAACATAAGATATGTTGTCAACAGAAATACATAAGCAAGCAAATTGTTAAGTGTATCTTCACTTCTATATATCAACCATAAGAAATCAGATAGTATCAAACAATATATTGCGAACGAAAGATGATGGAAATACCAGAAGTGGTTCAACAGTTGACAAAAAGCATGGCATGATTTTCTTACAAATCTTTTCGTCTTCACTGAGGTTAGTTAGCTAACAAAACTATCAGGGGTAGCTGGTAGGGATATTTCAATATGTACAATGTAAATATGAGGTAAGTCGCTAGTTCACTCCTATCCTTTCAAAAGATATTATTTCCTCTGCTTCAAGAAGGATCAGGAAGTTACCTTTACAGTTGAGAGAACAAGTTTAGCATGTATTTCTTGCCACTTTGTAAGATCTTGTCGAACATTTGAGATCGTAGGAATATCAGACATTTCTGAGTCATCTGCACATCACATAAACTACTCCAGTTAATAATCATCGAGTATATCAATTGGAATAAGAACTTTAAACACATTTCCTATAAATATGAGCATGAAAAATATCATAAAGGCCAGAATGTTTTATGTCATATATACACACACACACACACACACATGTAAGCACATTTATTCTGTTCCAAATTTCTAAAACACTTGCTACCTACAAATTGACTTTTAAACAAAAGGGGAGACAAAATCTACAATTTTGGTGAATTTTTATTCTCAACAGGTACAGCCGTGGAGGAATGGGAATGTAACTAATTTTAGGTACACTTTCTTCTCATCGGTTCTGACATATTATCTTATACAACTTCAATATGTATCATTCTGATCCCTATAGTTTCACTGCAGATGCAGCGAGACCAATAGGGGAACGCCTAGCCTCTTCCAGATGAAACAACTGAAACACATAATCGTCTTTCACAAGTCACAACACATATACATTTCCAACACACTTCTTCGGCTGAGGAATTCTGTAATTCCCTACAGTTTAGAAATGCTTATACTCTTAGCAAAGCGATTAATAGCTTACTAAGTATGGCTAATTTGCTATGATTCCTAAAACTTCATGTTAGATGCACTGGAACGGTTTGATGGATTGCCGAATCTCTTCTGGAAGGTGCAGCAGAATTACAAATTTGTTATTTCTCACTACAGGTACACCATCATGTCAACTTTAGATCTGATGACAAAATTTTCTCACAATTATAAAACACTGCTAATTTTGCAGCACCATAACAACTCGCATATAGTGCACTGTAATTGTGTTGCAGCTCTAAAAGAGTTTAAATAAGCTGAAAACCCCTAGAAGAGAAACAATGCCACCAAGTAATAAGAGTCTAAAGTCACAATTGTCCTCGTACCATTCACTAAGCATTCTTAAGAACCTCCAAATCCTATAATTAAGCTCATAGTAACATGCATTTCATTACGAAACACATGTTTTAACTAATAACTGAATCGGTACGAAACTTACCCTCTAGCGGGAAATCTCGAAACGTATTTAATGTGATCTCCTTCACAAATTCTCGTAGCTCATCCGTAATTCCAAACTTCTCGAGATCCTCGGGCGAAGTGCCCCCAACCTGCTTCGGCGAAGAATCAACAAGTTGCGAGATCGCGGCAGAAGTGGAAGGAATCTGAGACTTGATCTGATCAGCACGTTTCAACGCTTCAACCTTAATCAAATCAGCCTTCTTCGACGCCTCAGCAGCGATCTCCTTGGAACGTTTTGACGCCTCCAATACGATGTCAGATAGCTTGGATGATCCAATGGTGAACTCCTGCGATCGCTTCGCGGCTTCTTTGGTAAGCTCCTGTGATCGTTTCGCAGCCTCCTTGGTTAACTCCTGTGATCTCTTGGCTGCATCTTCGGCGAATGTCCGAGCCTTCTGCCAGAAATCCATGGCGGAAGTGTGAATCGAAAGGAGCTTCTGGCTGTTTTGATGCGATTGAAGATGGTGAAGAAGATGGGGAGTGAGAGGCAGGATCGAGTGTAGAGGGGTACACGTTATGAAGGATGATGCCGTGTGGTTTATGCTACCACGTTGCAAAAAGTCAAGATTTTGACCATCTTGAGAACCGTTGATTGGTTATACTTTCTATGAGTCATATTTGAAGTTCGTACGGCCAAAAAATCAAACTTCAATTCAATGGGAAAAAATTAATTAATGTAATAAAAAATAAATATTAAATATCACATTCAACATTTTATATCTAATCAATTACATCAATTAATTTTTTATTAAATTGATTTTTTTTATTAGTAAAAAAAAAAATTATTGTGTTAATTTGAATTTTTTTTAATATTTAATTTGATATCTAAATTAAAAAAAATTTGAAATGAAAAATAGATTTTATTGCATTAATTTTTGGGAAAAAAACGAATTTTAGTTATTTTATAATTATTTTGCAAGTTGGTTCCCCAAAATGACGATTTTTAAAGTTGGTTCCCCAAAATAGGTATCAGGTGCAAGTTGGTTCTCCAAAATGACGATTTTGAAATTTGGTTCACCAAAATAGGAATTAGGTGAAAGTTGGTTCCATTTTTATGCAATTTTCCCTATAATTAATGATGAAATTTTGAAATTAAATACAATTTTTTTAAAGATTTTGACTTTTGTTTATTTATTTTTGAAAAATTATAGAGCATCTCCAATAGCTTCTTTAAAATAGAAACCAAAAGTCAAAACCTCTAACATAAGTTACAATCAACTCCAATAGATTATCTATTTTAAAGATTTTATCATTAATTATATCATTTTAATATTTTATAATTTTATGATCTCAATACACTTTTTAAAAAAAACACACACACATATATATATATACTAGTTGTGTACCCGCGCAATGCGGCGAGAGCCATAAATTTTAACGATTTTGAAGTTCCACTGATTTTATAAGATAAGATTTAACGATGATATAAGTTACACTTGGTCTTTACATAGTAATACGAATAAATAAGAGTTATTGTTCCAATTACAGACTATCGATGAAAAAAATTGTATAGCAGTTTAAAATCCAATATATTTAAAATCCAACATATTTAAACGACTCCACAAATGTATTCAATTTACACCAAGAGCAAGGAACCAAGAAACTTGAGTTTTAAGATAAACACTCAAAACCAATAAAGAAAACTACAAATTTGACAGATCATAAGCCATGAAAAGACAAAAAAAGATGGGTTTTAGAATGAAATTTCAACTGCTTACCATTTTTCTTGTCAAGAAACTCAGATTAAGGTTGAATTAATACATGTATATATATATTTCAAAAAAAAAACCCAAGAACATATTAATTCAAAACATATTATACAATGCAATTTGGACAGCCTAACCCCAAAATATATAGTATATATATAAATAAATAACTATAAAAGTATAAATCGTAAATATTAAAAATATTAAAAATATTTTTCAGAGTATATATAATATATAATAATATAATTAAGTCAAAAACTATTCAATATTAGACTCATTTCGAAGGTATTAACGAGACGATTATAATGGTGTAACTTGTTAAAATAAAAATGTATATTTTAAATATGTTTTAATTGATATACGATTATGTATGTTAATTTGATAAAGGTTTAAAATGAAACATTTAAAGTAAAGGACGTAAAGTAAATAAATAAATTAATTATAGGGGTATAAAATATAAATTTAAAATTACAATTTAAAAAAAATGAGAGGGTGAGTGTATGTGAAGGGGTGAGTGTATATGAGGAGAGGAGGGGGTGAAAAAGTGAAAAAGTAAATATAAAGGGTATTTTGGTCATTTAGAATTTTAAGACTTTAAGACTTTTGCTAAATTTGCTTAATAAGATAGTATAGATACACACACACATATATATACGTGCACGCACACACACATATAATGATATTAGTCCAACATTCATTAGTGGGATGAATAAAAAAACTCATTTCTCTTTTTTTTTTCTTTGGATTTTTATAAAATTCTTTATATTTGGAGTTTTCCCTATGATTCTCTATTTTAGAGAATGATGGATGTTGGAGCATTATAAAGAATAAAAAGTTGATTTTCTCTATTATAGAGAAGCTGTAGGAATGCTCTTAAATATTAAAATATCATGAAAAACTAAAATTAAAAAAAAATCACCATAATAATATTCCTTTTGTTCCAAAATAAAGTTTTAAAAATATATAATTATTACACTTTTTATTTAACCAAGCGACACTTTCACTCTTAATAACAAAAGTAATTAATTTCTCTATTTCATAATCAAGATAAATTGTTGATAAGTATTCTTTTACTCAGTAAACATTTACCGATAAGAGTCTTCTTTTTCACTTATCGGATAATATTCTCGATCTTTGTTTACGTCTAAAAGATAAGATTTTAATAAATAAATAACTGAACTTTCTTATTTTAAATAAATAATTGGTCGATTTGTTTTAATAAAAATCATTGAAGAGCTAGAGATTTCAGATGTCAATTCGACGGTTCGGCCAATCCGTGACAGCCCCACAACAAAGAGTGTCTTTTTCCCGCTTTCACCTTCGATTGCGAAGGCAACTTCATTTGGACCATAGGGGGATTCCTTCCGAAATACAGATACCCCACCCGAACAAGGTATTTACAGGTTTTAAAGTAATACAAAACCTAAATCAGTGTACTGTTTTTTAAATCCTTTGCATTCAATGGTGCCACTCCCCCTCGTTGCCCCATCACTGTATGCTTTCCATCACCATTTATCGTTTGTCGTTACCCCCTGTTATCAATCTTCCTTTTTGCGTATCTGTTTTTTGTCTTTCAGTTCTCCTTTATTTCAACAATTTAATACAGAGTACATGTAGACAGATTAAGAAATAGAGAGAACCCGATTAACAAAAAATAACTCAAACAGGGAGATCGGTGGCAGAGGCCAATGGCGACGATAGTCAATAATGAAGAGCGGACAATGATGGGGTGACACGAGGTGGTGAGAGGATGCGAGGAGTTTGAACGACATAAGATTTGGTAGCAATAGAACTGATTTAGGTTTTTTCTTACTTTTAAACAGTTTTAATTAATTACAAGTAGTTTTTTTTTTTTTACTTAAAAGAATATAAGTAACCAATTTCTTAAAGTTCAATAGTTTATTTATTCAAAACAAAATGTTCGCTGATTTCATTCAAAAGTTCAATGGGTTACTTGTAAAAAGTTAGAAATTAATCATTTAAAATTAGAAAGTTGATTGAATTTTTTTGGACTTTTCCCAAATTTTATCTTAGAACAAAATGCACAAAATAACAATCTACTTTCATAAATTTCTTTATTATAGCATTGTACTTCCAGTTTTTCTTATTACAACAATATACTTTCAAACTGTTTTTTATTAGAACATTGTATTTTGAAAAATTTACTTACTATAGCATTAGGTAACCTTTTGATTTAAATTTACTCATTATACAATGTTTCTATGTCACCTCATTGTTCACGTAGACTGTTCGCATGTACTACAGTGATGTGACTTTCTTATTACAATATTGTACTTTCAAAATTATTTTATTATAGCATCTACTAGTTCTTATTAAACAATGTACTTTTAATTTTAATATTTAAATATTTTACGTGTTATTTAATAAATATATTAAATGAATTAAAAAAATTCTAAATTATTCATTAATAATACCAATATTAATAAAACTAGTAGAAGACAACTTATCTCACTAATATTTTTTAAAAATATACGTTTTTTGAAAAAAAAATAAGAATTGTTCATTTTTTACCAAAAAAAATATTATTTTTTAAAAAATATATTATATTTGTTCAAAAACTTTTACTTGACGTATAAATATATTAAATTAATTAGATTTTTTTGAATTATTTATTAATATAACAACATTAAAAAATTATAAAACACAATTTATTTCGTTAACATTTTAGATAGAACTTTAAAAGATATGTGTTTTTTTTAACAACATAAAATTAAAAGTGTTACCTTTCTTACAAACAAAATATATCTCGAAAATAATGTAGCATATTTATATAAGAAATATTTTACTCTAGAATATTTAATTTGCATGCAACTTAATAAGAAAAAGTCAAAAAAATTAAATGTTTTTTTAAATCATAGCAATGAAAAATAAAAATCACTAATAATAATTTGAAATAAKTTTTTATTTTTATTTTAATTAAGTCATCAAAATGATGTGTCATCCACATCACATCATTAAAGTTACACAAACAAAAAAGTCAAGAGGTTAACCAGTTTAAAAGGTAACAAGTTATCAATCGCTAAAATGGATAGATTTTTTTAAAGTGCGATGCCTTAGTAAAAAATAATTTGAAAGTACATTGCTATAATAAAGAAAAAAATAGAATACCATAATAAGAAAATTTATGAAAGTAAGTTGCAATTTCATGCATTTAACCTTTTATATTATAACAAATATAGAAAAATAAAACATTACATTAACAAATTTGGGCTCATATGGTTCATTAACCATTTATTTGTGCATTGGGCTTTCTGGATTAATTACAAGCCCCAAATTTTGGATCTTGATATATGGGTTCACATATCCTAATTATGTTGATGTTAGAGCATCTTTAATTAAAAAAATATAATTTTTATGAAATAAAATAATAAAAGTTAAAATCTTTAAAAAGAAATACGTTTTAAGTCCAACATATTCTCTATTTTAGATATTTCAACATGGATTATGTATGTCTGAAGTCTTATTTTACTTATGATTAATAAGAAGTGGTGCTGAAGTCTGAAATCTGAATCAATAAGAATGTTTGTTTTTGTAAACTGATAAACTTCTGAAGTCTAAAATCTTAATCAGTAGTTTGTTTTTGTAAAATTAGGAGCAAACATTTTATAAAATTCTCTTAATTTTCACAAAATTCTCATTGCCTAAATTCATATCGACAATTGTTTAACAGGTGGAACACAATTAAAATCTTTTGGATACCTTTCAGACTTCCGATGCTATCAAGAATACCGACGGTTTGTTTGTG